TAAAAACCTTACAGATAACTAAGACTTCTATATTTTTGCTCTGTTCATTTTTTATATTATGAGGATGAAATAAAAACCTTACAGATAACTAAGACTTCTATATTTTTGCTCTGTTCATTTTTTATATTATGAGGATGAAATAAAAACCTTACAGATAACTAAGACTTCTATATTTTTGCTCTGTTCATTTTTTATATTATGAGGATGAAATAAAAACCTTACAGATAACTAAGACTTCTATATTTTTGCTCTGTTCATTTTTTATATTATGAGGATGAAATAAAAACCTTACAGATAACTAAGACTTCTATATTTTTGCTCTGTTCATTTTTTATATTATGAGGATGAAAGATACACTCCAAATTTTTACTAATTCATCTGGTCTCCTACATCCTTCCCAAGAGCATCTGTGCCATCCTCTGCTCACTGATTATGGCACAAGCAGCAGCTGTGGTTGTTTTTAACCCATTGTAGAACTCTGTAACTGTGTGTACTACTTACCTGGATATTTCTGGTTAAACCACACATGCAGTTGCAACAATATCACAGTGGATGGTTGCCCTATAGTTTTCATTCTTGCTGTGGCTGGAGAGGAAGAATATTTGTGAAGGAGCTATTGTTATTCTTCTGTTTACTCAGGGCAATGGCTATTTGTTCCAGTGAGTAGTGGGTTACTTTTTCTTGCTGTCACTAGTCAGGATGGTTCTTTACAAACTAATTTCTTAGCCTTTTTAAAAGGAGTTTTTTATGTAGCCTAATTGAGACTAATTGATGTTTCTAATACACCATTTCTGTCTTCATCATCCCCAAGTTTTTTAAAAATATTTTTTCACTGTAAGGTATTCACTCTCCATGTTCTAATATGTTTTAATTATTTGGAAATATGTAAGAGAAGGAGGGATTTGTTTATTTGTCTTTAAAAACTTGCATACAGGTAGTCCTTGACTTATGACCATTTGTTCAGAGACTGTTCAAAGTTACAGTGGCACTGAACGAAGGGACTTATGGCTGATCCCTGAAGTTATGGCCGTTGCAGCGCCCCCGTGGTCACGTGATCAAATTTGTGTGCTTGGCAGCTTGCCTGCACCTATAACCACAGGGATGCTTCAACTCGCTTCACCCACCTGTCTCCCCCCACCTATGCCTTTTTGGCCCCCTGTACTCTTTGGCCCCTGCCACCCTAACTGATCTTTCCTGTCTTCTTGCTCCTGCTGCTGACTGAGCATGCTCAACCTGGCCCTTCATGAGTCAGCTGCTGGCCACACAAGGCTTTCTTCCCCAGGTCATTCACGGCAGTTTCCTTGCGAGACCTGGGAAAGATGGCCTCACATGGCCACCAGCTCCTCATGAAGGGCCAGGGCAGGCACGCCTCGTTAGCAACAGGAGCAAGAAGATGGCAAAGGTCAGCTGGGGCGGTGGAGCACAGGGTAGCAGGGGCCTTGGAGTGCAGGGTGGTGAGGACGGCTGGGCTGGGGTTTCCTGGGGCGCAGTGGCTTTGCACTGTGCTGCTGGACTGGGCTGGGCTTCACACTGTGCAGAGGGGCTTCCTGGTGGGCCACAGCTCTGGGGCTTTTTGCTGGGGCTGGGCTTCACATGGGACAAAGGGGCTTTCTGGCATGCTGCAGCTTTGGGGCTTTTTGCTTGCAGCCCCAAAAAGCTTGCAGCCCCAGAACCACGGCATGGCAAGAAGGCCCTGCGCTGCAGCATGTTCTTTCCCCAGCCTTCCTGAGCTCACGCCACATGTCAGCACCCCCCTCCCCCAACCCTTGCACAGCCGTCCCAGGCTTCCCTCAACCCCCACAGCACCGTGCTCCTTACCTGGGACTCCCACCACTTCCCACTTAACAATCTGCGTGTCTTGGAGTTATGGCAGCAACCAGGACTGCCTGGGATTGCTGTCATTAAGCAATGCGATCATGTGATATTGCGCTTTATGATTGTATCACTTAGCAATGGAAATTTCAGTCCAGTCTCAATTGTGGTCATAAGTTAAGGAATACCTGCATTTTGAGTAAAAGAGCCATTAGATGTTTTTTGACTGTGTATAGGATTCTGCATAAGTCTTGAGCCTTAAGTATTTATTGGGACCTCTAGTTTGAAACAAGATAAACCAGACCCTTGCCTAAATACCTATAAATTAGTTTGTCAATGTCTGTTGTGCTTTTATGATAGAGTAGGGATAAATAATGATTTAAATCACTCACAGGTTTGACCATCCCTAGTATAATTATTTTTTTAAAAAGCAGTACATGTCGGTGACATAGCAAATCCATTTTAAATGCTTTTTAGTCACATGACATTGGAATTGAGTATTATAAGCTCTCTAGGACCTTTGAAAGTTTTCAGTAGTTCCTTGGTTACAATACTTCATAATATTTCTTAATTGGAAACTGCATTTACTACATCTTTCTCTTTCTGCACGTGTTCTAAGATGGCGATGAAATTGTTGATCATCTAAATCAGTGTGTCTCAACCGTGGCAATTTCTAGAGGTGCGGACTTGAAATCCCAGAATTCCACAGCCAGCATGACAACTGATGAGAATTCTGGGAGTCGCTTCACACACTTAGAAGTTACCAAGGTTGAAGAACACTGCTCTAAATACTGCTGAAGTACTGCTTGCATCATTGTTCATTTGGCTTCCTGGCTAGCATTCTAGCTGGCATACATGGAAGTTGTCATTCAGCAAGATAGGAGCATCATAAGTTCCTCTCATGCTGTAAGAAAGAATGAGGTGTGATTCTATCTGTGTATGTAAAACAAGTTTAGAAAAGTGTAATTGAATTAATAAACTGTACATGCTCTTAAGTTTCAGAAGGTAATAGGGACACTGAACAGCCATCTGAAACAACAAATATCTATTAGTCAAATGTTGAATGCCATTTCTATAAGTTCTTCTTTATGCATTTCTTAAAAGACATACTAATGACTTTATATTTTTTTAATCTTAAAAGTATAATATTCTCAGTATTTTTCACTTAAAAATTGCCTGAATGTAATTGTTTTGTACTTATGAAAGTTTTTATCCTTCATGAAAGGGATAAAATTGTTTATTTTTCACATTCTGTAAGATATATAATTTCACTGTTTCCTGTTATGTGCACTTGTATTTTTACTTTATTCATAGTATATTTAATCATTTTGAAATTACATAAAAACTGTTTTTTTTCAGATATGGAATCCGCCCTGAAAATGTGATTATATATGGCCAAAGCATAGGAACTGTGCCATCTGTTGATCTTGCTGCTCGTTATGAAAGTGCTGCTGTAATTCTTCATTCTCCTCTGACCTCAGGAATGCGAGTAGCTTTTCCTGATATTAAGAAGACATACTGCTTTGATGCATTCCCAAAGTAAGCTGTTGTACTTTAAAAAAAAAATTGACTTAGAAGTTAGTTATCTCGTTCATATACTCTTTGCGTAAATGTCAGAAGAAAAGTCACTGAATGAGAAATAGAAAGTCTAGATAAACTAGACCATTTTTGCTTTGATGCTACTATAAATCAGACAGTTAAAATATATTCAAGAAAATCTGTGGGTTGCATTAAGGTCTGCCCATCTGAATACTCAGGTTTTTACTTTTTGCAGAGAAAACTAAGCTACATGAAAGAAAGGTAGGCCAGCAACTTTCTCCAGTGCTTCCATCCTCCTCAAATCTTTAGGATCACTAATGTATTGCTCCAAAATGTCTTCCCATTCTTTAAAAAATGGAGGTGGTGTTGGGAGCCTAAGGGGAAGTTGAAAAAAAAATTTCATCTTATATCCTTTTTCAGTACCAGTGGAATTCTGCTAGATATAAGTCAGGGTCTCAATCCTGTATTTTTTTTCCCCCAAAAGTTTAATTTCTACATGAATTTATTTGTCCTGGTTTTGAATACCTCCACTAAATAAACACTCTAATGGCATGCTGTCAATAAAGCACAGTAAACATTAATTTTAGCCATATGCACATGTAAGACATTTAGGAACAGCTATTTGTGGAGTTTTGTGCTACATGTGCTAATTTTTTTTTTCCTGTGTTCTTGTAGTATTGACAAGATATCTAAAATAACTTCTCCAGTGTTAATAATCCATGGGACTGAAGATGAAGTGATTGACTTTTCACACGGCCTAGCATTATTTGAGCGTTGCCAAAGACCTGTGGAACCACTGTGGCTAGAAGGGGCAGGACATAATGACGTGGAACTTTACGTACAGTATCTTGAAAGATTAAAACAGTTTGTATCACAGGAACTGGTGAACTTGTAAACTGCTTTGTTTAGTTACTTGTTGTTGAATTTTGTTGCTGAACTTCAGATCTTGATAGCCACAACATAAAACCTGATGGTTTTGTTTTCAAATCAGGTCAGTTGCCTTCATAAATGTACAGGTAAAATGATTTGTAAACATAATTAATGAAGGTTTTAATGCCAGTATTAACTGGAATAGTAGATGATGGGGACAAAACTTGTGTAGTGTATATATTTTGTGCAAGTTTTCTTCTATACTTAAGTCAATTTGCAAGTCTTTTTAAGATGTACAAAAATCATAGAAGGAAGTAAAATTTTAATTATGTAAAATCTGATGCTGTAAAAGTGTTGCCAAATGCTTTAGCATATCCCAAACAAGTTTATATACAATATTTTTAAAACATCTCAAAATGTACTGCGACCTATTCTGTTGCACAGGTGTAATTGAAGCAGTTATAAAATACAAATAGCCATTATGTTTGAAGGAATATAAAAGAAGAATGAAGACAACCACTTGAATTTACAGGCCTTATATAGGGAGCAAATCAAAACAAGTGTTTTATTACCTTGTCTTTTTCTCAATGTTTTTTTTTCTTTTCCTGACTGATTAATGGCCAAAAATGCTGTTTTCAAAGCATTGCTCTATTAACAAGGCCCATAGAAATGCAACAAAATATGGAACCGATAGTTTCCATGAAATCAGCAAGTAATCTAAGGAACTTTCTATATGGCTATTTTAAAATAATCATGTAAAAAAAGATCTTCCAAAAAAAATCTAATATTGATTTGATTTTTTTATATTGACAAACATGCAAAGTTACAGACTAGTTGACACTTGATTTGAATGTTTTACAATGTAGAATTGTTTCAATTATTATGAAAAGTTTACTAATGTACTCCTATATAGTAAAACAAATGTTGACAACTCATCGTAAAATAAGCTGCCTTTCCCTAGAATACATTTTTGCTTGAATAAAATTAAACTATAGCCTAACTTGTAAGCAAAATAATATTCAAATACACACTGTGCTTCTAATTTTAAAGCCTTATGTAGTTAACCTGTTCTGCTTATTCTTGTGATTGTCTGAGAATATCATATATTGTATTGTAAATGCTTAGATTCTGATGTGTTTAACTCTTAAGAAAAATTCTACGATTCTGAATTGTTTGTGCAAAACATAAACTGTTCCTGATTAATTCATTCTCTGTGATATAGTGAGAGAGCACAATTTCTAATGTGACTAAAACATCTTGCTAAAATCCAGTGATTCCATTAGACCGAATTCTTGCCTTCCTGCCAGAGGTTTTACTCCTTATATCATCCACTTCTTTAAGGGATATAAGACATTTGATTAGTGTATGCTCCCATTTTGAGCAAAATTATTCTGGCTTCTAATTAAAGCTCTAAATTGCTTTTATGATTTCATAAATGAGGGACTTAATATATTAAATATATAGGGCAAACAATGAGTTGTCACAGTAGCTAGCAAATATTTGTCAGGTATGGTGTTAGATCTAGGAAATGTGACGATTCAATCCATAACATTTAAAAATAATATTTCATAGATTTAATATGTTTTGTATTCTTTCCTTCACTCACTTGTTTAGGGAAAATAATCAAATACTTGCCTTAGCAACCTCCCTGAACTATTCATATCACATAGCAATTTGATCACACAGAGATTGGGTACAAGAAGAACAGTTAGCAACGAGTTCTTTGCCTGAACTGAGATGCTGTTTTGCCACTGCAATTCAAGGGAAATTTCTTATTACTAATATTTAAAAATATATACCTTTCCCAGTTAGAGTGATGCACTGGAGATTGGATTCAGTCTTAGTTATTATTCCAGTAGACCTAATGACTTCAGTGGGTCTATTCCAAGATCAATAAAATCTATATCTTTTATAAGTTGAATGCCTGGAGCTTGAGCATTGATCCTAAAATAGTTTTGATTTGGATGAGATATTATAAAAACAAGAGAAAAATGGTTAAGTTTGTGCAGTTGTGCAATTAATTTAACTCGATTTTGGATTAAAATAATTACATATTTTCTCTGAAATCCTTAATCATTCAAATTAAAAGTTGCTCTAGTATAGTTCAGTTTAATTTCAGTATTTTCATATGTCCTTTCTCAAAACAGTAGAATAGAGATATAAGTGACCATTTACCAGCCAAAGAAGTGGCTTGGGATTGTTGAATATATGAATTTCTATTGTTTTTTGGGGCAGGCAACTTGCCATATTACAATAGAGTGTTTGCAATTATATGGTAGCAAGCTGATTTATATTATGATTATATTGCCTCACATTTCAGATTGTTCTTATGAAGAATGTAGGAGAATTTGCCACTGTGTGTGGTTTGGTTATTGGGCAGTGAGTTCTCTCCTAGTTGCTATTACCAACAGTAACTTATAACTAGCTGCTATGTCTCACAGTCAACTGTGTACATCTAGGAGAAGTATATGGGTAAAGTTGTGCATTTATTTACCAGCAGTAAAGAGGTAAGTACTGCCTCTAGATGTGGCAACTTAATATAAAAGATGTAAATACTATACTTCCACCCATTTCATCCATATTGAATAACCATATGTTTTACCTTACCAAAACAAATTAGTGATGACTTAACTAATCTGAATTATGTATTTTTGATGCATATTGTCTCTTATGGCTTGGGAGAAAGAAGATGCCACCTAATAGGATACAGGCATACTGTATTGTGTTCCTAAAAACATATTTTGTACAGTAATCTTTAGAAGAAGAGGTAAAGGGATGGCAAATTGCCTTTTTTGTCAAGAGATTTAAGAACTTGGCATGCGTTTAAGGCAATACCCTTAGATCCATATCAAATTTGTTTCTGGTTCTTCACTATTACTGATTCTGTCATGGTAATTTCTGCAGAACCCTGTGTCAGATGAAAGCCATTGATGAAAAAAAGACTTGCCATCTTTATTATGGAATTGGTGGTTTAAAAAAAAAACTATGAAGGGATAAGATGAGCTATACACTAGTAAATATTTTCATGTTTGTGCCGTGTCAAGCTGGGTAACTATAATGATCATTGATAGGTTGCTCAGTTGGATGCTATAGTTTGCAAGTAAATGGATGTACATTGTCTGGTTTAATACTGCACACTACCTCAAACTGACCTTGTTACTCTTGGATAGTTGAGCCTCCACATTTGGAACTGTGGATAGAAGATAATTATTGATATATTCATTATTCCAGAACATAAACTAAACAATGTAAGGAAGCCTTGTAAATGGGAACCATTTAGATTAAATTAAATCTTGAATGTTAATCTTGACTAACTTTGCTTGTGTTTGTCCTTTTGTTAACATTGGATTAATTCAATATCAAGCCTGGCCTAAGCTTTACTCTGGAGTTATTTCTGTTTTAAAGATCCTGCTAATCATTGTACATTCAGACAGCTCAAATAAAACCTAGCTTTTGATTATAGTGTTTCAGTTTTTTATAGAGGGTAATCGAATTCTGTTTTCAACAGTGTTGTTTTATACTTTCGTAATCCTATAATTTTGGTCTTGTTGGGAAGATAACTGGAAAATATCAGTATGGCCTAAATATATGTGATGTTGCTTATAGTATGACTGTAATACATGTTTTGTTTTTTGTGGAGGAGGGTGCAATTGAAATTGTCGATATGGGAATAATTAAATTCCTATAATCCATGCTGGAATTGGCTGGTTGGCTATTAAGAGGTTTTTTGTTTTTTTTTACTGCTATCAGTGGTAACATTCTTCCTTTGTGAAATGTAGCACCCAGATAAAGATTAAAGTACTGGCACCTTTTATTTTTGGCAGTTTGCTATCCCCATGATGTACTCAAACATGTCAGATGGTAGCATGTTTTGAACCTAATTCTGTGAACTACTACACTGGTATAGTAATAAATGTACGTATACACCCCTGCTAGTATGCAAAACTTCGGGACTGAGGCCAGGGCAGGGAAAAAAACTAATTTAAATGTATTAATATCATTCCCACATATTTAATGTACCCTTTCTATCACATTAAAAATCAGTTTGGTAATGCTTTGTAGGCTATAACAAACGTTTGGGGATGCAGGCTGTAGACCTCTGTATTCGGTGATTATTTATTTCCTTTTAAGCAAAATTCTCTTTATACATGTCGGGTAGTAATAGTTAAATACTTCTTTCCAAGTTTATAAATCTGGGAGAGGAATCATAACTCCAGTTCTTCTCTTGCTTCAGTATCCATTTACTTCATGCTTGAATTGATTGGCACAGCTAGCAAACCTGAGTTTTATTCTCTCCATGTTAGAGTGCATGTGTGAGATGGTCTTTCAGGACTGAATGTTGCAATAGATTTTCTGTATTGAAAAATAAAATCCCATTAAAATATATGATTTAACTAAGGCTCTCAGTTTAGTTCCTTGATCCTGTGGATGTCTCTGCTAAGAGAAAAGAAAAGAAAAGGTAATATTTGTTGAGTATTCATCCATTCTGGTTCCCATTTATAGTTGCATATGAAAGTTTAGACATCCCAGGTAAAATTGTATGTTTGTATGTTTCACTGAATCCCTAAGTGAACAGAAGTTGACACAACCTTTACATGGTACAAAGTTAAACATGATCTCTTTCTGCAAATTAAAATATGCATGCTTACTGTTTATTTGCAGAGTCAAAATACAAGTTTGAAGAGGAGTGCCTAAACTTTTTACATGGAACTGTATATGACCAGCAAAGGTTCTGTGAAAATCTCATACTCATTTAGCAAATGCATATTCTTCATCAAAAGGTAGGGTGGGTCATTAACAGATTGAAATAAGAAAAATGGAAATACATCACCAAACAATGATGTGGTACAGCATAAAATTTTTATATACAGGTATGCAATATTAGAGAAAATTAATGTCTTAATAGAATTTTAAAAGTGAAATGCTGTACATCTAAATACAGTGGGAAAATATGTGGATTATCAAGATGGTGATAATAGGCATCTTCATATTTCTAATATTTATGGAGCTATAGTTTGAAGTGAACAAATAGGAGTGAAAGGCATAATTGGATTAATTCCTGAAAATTTATATTATGATAAAACTTTATCAGTATTTAGGATAATATAACTTTATAGTTTTTGCCATAACACACCATTTTCCCTATTCAAACTGTTATTAGGGGTATGTAAAGAGGGCATATCTACTTCATTTTGTGCAACAAACAAAACATATCTTAACCAATCTCTTACCTCAACAGTGCATTTTTCACAAAAGCTAGATTGGTGAAACAAGATGAAATGAGACAGTGGACCACTTCACAGCTTTGCTTCAAGGAGATATGTCAACTCAAAACTATTAAAATAAAATTCTTGTTAAAGCTTGATACACCTGTAAGCAGGTAGAACCCAGGACACATTAAAACAAGACTGCATTTCTGAAAGAATGCAAGACTAAAATTCCTCCCCAACAGTTCGCTTTTTAAAAGGAAGATGTTTTGTTCATGGCTTTGTAACTCTGCTGTCTGAATGAGACAGCTTTATTACCTCAGCGAGAACTAGATCTTTATACTGTAGTATGATTTATTAGAATATTTTAGTAGTATAGCAGTCTCTTTGAACGTGTGCCCTCTACTGATACAAACCTGTATTGCTTAGCTGATATTTGCCAGTATTTTTTTTGTTGCTGTTGTTGCCTTACAGGATAAATAAATAAAAACTGGTTTAAACTTCTCTGATATTAGTTATTATGCTTATATATTTAAAATAACTCATTCTGGAATATTTTAAACTACATTATATTTTAGGCTGCAACAATAGAAGCATCCTAATTGGATCTGCTTGAGTTTGCCTCCTATTGTGATGGTTTTTAAAAGAGAAAGTCTGACTAATTTGTTTCAAGGAGCTGTACTTTAAAACTTCAGGAAAATAGCATCTTCAGTTGCCTTAACCCTACTAGGCTATCATCTTTCCTTTACTAAAACATTATGATGTCATCACTTAATTATTAAATTATAATTTAGAAATATATTTTAATAATGATTGTACTTAAGTTCTAGAAAGAGTAAAAGTATTCTGAAATTATTACTACCATAACCAACAAAGATTTAAAGACTGCAATGTGAGTGCTTGGTTAGTCCCACTAATCATTAAAGAGGATATAGAATGTTTAAATTTTGTTCTGGATTGTGCCAACTGGCTAAAAATGTTCATATATCAACAGTTCACAAAAACAAATGTCAGCTATTTCCTCATACTATTATTTGCTTCTAAATGATTTTTCTTAGACATTGTTCAGACTAGGGTTGTTGGGTTTTTTGGCTAGTAATATTAGCCAGTGGAATACCATACTTTCTATTTTAAAATAATTTCCCATCTTTCAAGCAGTTCAGTTATGATCCAATAAATGCAATCAGTCTGACAACATGGAGCACACATTTTTTCTTCACCTTCTAAAACCAGCAGTAGGATCTTGTCTTACATATGGTTTCCTAGATAGCGGCCAGCAACTTCACATATATTAATGTATGTCATAATGTAACAGTGTTTCTACACAAACAGGTTTGTGAACGACAAGCATTCTGAATTGGAGTGCTGAATAGCATTCTATGCAATACATACACTGAAGTGGATTATTCTTATTCCAGTCTATGTTGATTGCGGAAGCAGCAATATTTCAGAATGACTGATGAAATGCCAGATTGGTAACAGATCACTGTCCTTCCTGTTTGTGTGCTACATTTGCTAATAGGAATGATGCATCAGTTTCCAGTAGTCCGCTCAGTTAAGCCTCCAACAGAATAAAAGGCACTAAATGGTACAATGACTGTAGAAAACCACGTTGTTGGTAAATGGTGTGGGTGGCACAGGTAAACCACAAGACATTTTAACAGAAAATATGTGTTCCTTTGATGCCAAGCTATATTAGCATCTGCAAACAATCTTTTTGCATTTTTATGCTTAGGGCAGGGAATATTACAGAGAAGATAATTAAATATACATGTGTTGAAACTGGTCCATCTACTTTGTTTAGTAAACACATATTTGTATAATTAAAGAAATACTACTTATGGGAATATCACATTATTATTATTTAAAGAGGAGACAATTCTAGGCCAATATTAGAAATAGATTGAATTTTTACTTTTCAGTAGTTTGAAATATTCTGTTGATTTCAATCATAAAGAGTTAAGCCAATGTTTAAATTGAAATCATAGAATCATTGGGTTGGAAGGGACCTTAAACATGCCACTGAATTTTCCACACAACTATTTTGAGGAAGCAATCTCTCTCACATTATCTCATCCTATTAAAGTTCAGTATTATGTACCTCAAAAATACAGGTTTACAGTTCCAAATTACAACCTTTATTGAAGGATTAAATGTCATATCTGCAAAGACAGCTTATTTTGCATTTGGCTTCTACTTTTTTTACTATTATTACATCATATACCATTAACAGCATTTGTGTTTTCTAAACTGTCTTTTAAATCAATTTTCTCTAAAATAGGTAGCTATATATGTATTATACATATAATTATACCTATATAATTATATGCAAAGGGATTTTTAAGGACATATTGCCCCACAGAGTACCTCGCAATCACAAAAACACGCATGGGAGAAAACATACAAAACATGTGTCCCTCTGCAGTGAGGCATGGAACAAACCAAGTCTTGCAAAAAGAAATTTATTGGAGGGAGGGAGGGAGGGAGGGAGGGAAAGCAAGAAGGGAAAAGAGACCAGGGCCCAGCCACAGCAATGCACTTCGCAAATCTGCTGAATCATGATATGCTGAACTCCATTAAAGGGACACAACACTATAGGAGGCATGTCAATGCCAGAAAGATGTAGTGAGGCATTTGCTGGCATTTATATATAATTCAGGTTCATGTTGGTTGGGGCAACGTATGCTGCCTTTCCCAGTGATTATTCTGGAATGTTTCAATTTGAATTCGAAAAAGTTTCAAATGTTTTTCTAGAATCTACATCCACAGGTTAATGGAATTATAAATACAGAGGATATGTATTTTTTGCTTTCAGCTGAAAGGTCAAGAATGTCTACCTCATGACATTAACAGCATCTTTGAGATTCCTGCTACAGTATTCAGATGCATTTTATTGCTGTGTCTTATACAGGAGAGCAACACAGAAGAAAATCACTTTAAAATATAGTTCTTGGATCCAAAGAATATGGCATGGAAGAAAAACACGTTTTACCATGTTATATGAACTCTCATATAAGAGTTAGCAGACATTATCTCATGGTGTGGTACCATGTGTTATAAGGAATACAATGAAGATAAAAATAATTTGTTAAATTATTTGACATAAGAGCTTGGGAAACTAGAACAATTCAGAATATGGGTTGTTTTTCTCCCCACAATACTTTAACATTCATTTGGATAAAGCTTTTCCTATAGCAGGAGACGTTTTCTGATATTGGAAAGTAAGTTTGACTTCAGATTATTTTAAAGCAGCCTATTGCTTTATACCACAGAAGAGGGTCCTTAATTTCTTCTCTCTTGGGGTGAATGCCTGAATCTCTACACAGTAACAGAGCAATTGCAACATTATTCACAGAGGTCTTTACACAGAAAGGTGGAATTTGCATACAGGCATACCTGGGAATAAGCTGTATTTAATTCAGTGGGATTTACCTCAGTGTAGAAATGCATTAGATTATGCTGTAAGTCACTTAACCTTGAAAAGTACAGTTAGCAAAGGTAGAAATGCTTGTGATTCAAATGGTTGAAAAATCATAACTACTATTTGGCTCACACCAGGGTGTCACATGAGACAATTCCTGTTTTTCCAAGTCAGAAAAATAAGAGCTTGGCGTGACATCCTGAACACAGAGTCTGAGAGATAATGCTCTTCCTGTACCAGTGTCCAGCCTGGATATTTATTCTCTGAAAGCAACAATGATCATTTGCTCCATTGTTGACTATCCATATAGAAAAACAACAAAAAGGCTGCCTCAGCTGTCTGCATTCTCGTTTTATATATGCATATCAAGTAGGTAAGCATTAAAATACTTTATTCTACAGTGTACTTGCTTAAATTTCAGTCCATTTAAATCATGCAATCTGATTTTTACAATTATCAGAATGTATATGATTCTGGTAACTCAGAATTCAAACTACTTTTTATAAGAAGTCATTTTGTCCAGAAGCTCTATTTCTAACGTACCATATATTGATCTTACTTCATATTCTTGTGACTTTTCCGTAGCATTTTTTTTCTTTGTGTACGTAACATTGTCTTTGGAATTGTATATTTTCAGGGGAACAAACAAGACTGTTCATGGAATGTAGCTGAATTTAACTTCCTGCTGAGCCTACATTTCCACCTACCTTATATTTGATAGCTCTAATTTAACAAATAAGACATATTTAAGGTTTTATATGGTACATATTGAATGTGGCAATATATTAAAACATGTCTGAAAAACTCATAGCTGTCTTAAGTACAGCATTCCCATCCACTATGTAATAGGTTAAAGCATTTTCTCCTATTTCAGTGTTAAAAAAACACAACTCTGCTCTGTTTTGTTGTATCTATAAGCTATTTTTTTAATATGATCTCAGCTCAAACTGAAACTGACATTTTCTATACGCTGTTGAGGAAAAAATGCCTGTTTTGTACTGCTGTTTATTTAAAGGAAAACAATATATCTATTTGCCCAAACTCTTACATAATTAGGCTAAATAATTTGCATTTCATGAATATCATTTCAAAGGAAAATAGTTTTTTGGAAAATATATCCTGCTGCTCAGTGTCAGTGCTAGTGGAACATCAAGTGCAAACAAGAAAAAGTTGACAAAATGACAAAGGATCAATGGATTTTTAAAAATAATCCTAGATCTTACTGCAGTGTTACACTGCAGAAGAGGTCATATATGCTAACATTCTCTTTTTAATTAATGAAAGACCCCATATAATTTCTTCATTTCAGTTATTGAGCCACTGCCCAGGATAAGATATCCATCAACTTCACACAATCATGCTATTTATGTATAGTAAACCACTGGTTTTGATTAATTGACTTATGGCGGTTTATAGTAAAAACAACCATGCTATACCAGCAGGGAACACCTGATCAAGTCAAGGATACCACTTCACGTTTCCAAGCAAGTCATTTGAGATTCTGTCCTCCAGAAAGTAGGCATGCACAAGTAGTGCTTCGTTACAATAAAGCCATATGTTTTACATTTTTCAGAGTCTTTACAGAGATTTTATCTTAGAACACTTATCAACAAGGAGTCTTAGGTCTACTACTGCAACTAAAGCTGTTTGGATAAGCCATTCTACACAGTAAAGTATAAAGGGAAAGGCCAATACTATCCCAACCAATGGCAGAAAGTGAGTTGCCCCAGCCAGCAGAGTACTGAGGGGTGCATTGGGGCTCATGGACTGAACTAAGCTAACACAATGCCTTCCATTCATATGAGGTTACTTTCCCACAACCAGTGCTCAGAAAATATTAGCCTCTTAGTCAACTTGGCTTTTGGGCAAGGAATGGGAAGGGAAGCCACTCTGTATGTGCTTTTAATTCATTTAGCAAAATGACGAGCCAGCCTTGGGATAGCCCACTCAATGGTTTGCGAAATGCTCCAACTTCAATAATCCCCATCTTTCTAACTCTTGTATTTCAAACATCTAATTGCAATTACCTCCTATATTACAAATGCTGCACTGAGATTTTTGTGTTCTAGGACCCTGATGTGCCAGTTTTCTATTTGTAGTGAAATTAATATTCATGAATGGATTATTAGTAAAGTTACAAAATTGTACAGGCATACATTTTTTACCATATTCCGCATCATATAAGGATTCAGTAATGCAGTTTGGGTCATCTACTCAGGGTTTTTTTTTCCAAAATCATTTTTTATTAATGAATGAAAGTAAGTTTACAGAATGTAAAACTGATGGATCTTGACTCTACTCCCTGATTATAAGCAATAAAAAGAAGACGGACCAAGTGTGTAAGGAAAATACTGGCAAAGTATATGGAACTGACATACCATTAATATGCACTGATACATGCACTTGATCTTTATTAAACCAAATAATTCATTGAGGAATTGTTCAGAAAATAACATTTTTTAAAATGGAAAAAAAAAAAACCCTTGTAGGGTGGCTGCCATCCCTAAAAACATTAGTGGAAAAGAGGGAACAGAACACAGTCTAACACAGGCCTACCCCAGCTGTAATTTTTACTTTTGCAATTCAAGTCCTTGAATTAAAACTAGTTTATATTTTAAAAATCTGATTAAGTACTTGTTAAGTAATCAATTCACATTAATTCCCAAGGGACAATTCACTACTCCACAGCTGTGGCAGTTAGGAGATAAAGGACCTTCATGAGTACCCTACACACACAGAGAAGTCCTAGATTCTATACTAGCAACTAACCAAGCTACAGCAGCTTAGAAGTTGAGAAGACCTGAATATCAGAACAGAACTTCTCCTTTATTACTGCATCCGTAGGACAGAACTGTTTTTCTGTAGAACCGCCTCGGTTTGGTGGCAGTTTCTCCATTTGGTCATTGAAGGGCAGCGTGAGGTGAATGAAAAAACGACCGGTAGCACTACTATCTCCCCGAGCCAAGCTGGGGGAGCAGGGGAAGGGAAAGATCGCGTCCGTTGCCTACTAAAACCTTACACCGTTAACTGACCGAAAACTTTCATCAGAACCCGTCAGGACGAAGAGGCAATAGCAATCCTGCTAAACGGTTCCAGGTTTATAACGACTTCCTTACGCAAGATCTTATTGCTTCCTAAAGAAATAAAACGAGCAGTAGGAACAAACCCTTCCTTCAGGAAGTTGAGAAACCTTATTGCAAAACGGGCTTTCTCTACCACCATGGTGGAAAGAAACAAAATAATTAATGGAAGACGGGTAGGTCTTATATTATTTATAGTAGATTTAAAGATTAGCCAGTTCTTTTGCACATTCTGAGAGTTCTGGAAAGGCGAGAGCCACCCTGAAGTAACTCGCATTAAATTCAGTGAAACCGTTTATTTCTGATTATTTCAGTTTAATCTCAGGTAGCCGTAGCACCCAGTCTTGCGGCTGTTGCATTCTCGCCCGACTGCTTCCAGACGAACGAGCCCGTAACTCAGGTGGTGACGTGAAAACGGATGGTGGCACCACAGGCGGAAAATGTCTCGGCTCTGGCCTTCATGCGCCCATTGTGCCTGACTAATGGCTCAAAAAGGCGTCAGGTGTTAAAGTGGTTTGGACTGTTTTCCGACATTTAATCTCACCATCACCTCAGTAGCAAGTTGCTGCAAGACACTGTATTGTTCAAAAGCCCTGCAAATCCAGCTTGGCCAGAGGCGAAGCAACAGCAAAAGAAATGCGCGTGGGCGGCAGGGTGAAAACTCGCCGTGCCTTTCCTTTTTTAAATCATTTTCGAATCGACCGTGCATCCTCCACCCGCGTTACAATCCTAGGAACGCTGAGTTAAGCCCCGCCGAAATGTCTCGAGCACTTCCGAGTTGAAAATGCAAGTGGTCAGAGTGCAGGCGTAACTCATTCCAAAAGCCGAACGCGGTTTCTCTCGCGCAGGCTTGGCCGCGAGCAAATACCTCCGCGTGCTGGCGCAGGAGTCGAGGAAAAGCAGCCCTGCCTACAGCGGCTCCCTTTCAGGGCCTGCCAGAGAGGGGGCGTGAAGCCTCCCCAGGCGCCGCTCTCCTCTGTTCTTCTCCCAACAGCCGTTCTGCAGCCGAGGAGGGACCTCGCGGAAGGCTCCACCCCGCCAGGCTGAGGCGAAAAAAGGAGGGGTGGTACAGTACCGCCGGGACGCGGGCAAATGCTGCTCTGGGGGGTGAAGGAGGCGCTTGCAGCCGACTGGGCGGAGCGGCGCTGCGTCGGGCAGGGCTGTTTCCCCGCCAGCGGGGCGCGAGGGGGTTTGGAGCCATTGGGGAGAAGCGGCTGCGGTGGATGAGAGAGAACATCATGCCTCAGCCTCCTCCGCCCTGAGCTTCCTCCTCCGTCGCCGCCGTCTCCTCCTTGCCCGTCCTCGAGGCCGCGGTAAGTGCCGCCTTCCTCCTCCTCCTTTGCTCAGCTGGCAGGCGCTAGCCTCGGTTGTCTTTTTGACGGGAGCCCCCGCGCTCTGCATTCCTAGCGAGCGCTTCTAGGCTCCCTTCCCCCCTCCGCCAGCTGGACTTCCCGCTTTGCCTCCTTCCCCCTTCTGCGCTTTCTGTCTTCCCTGGGATCTTTTATCTGATGCCTTACCTTTTTGTTCTCTGCCTCGCCTCCAAGCCCTCCTCGCTCCATGCCTGTTGCCCTTGTTCCTCCTCGGCTGCAGAGGCGCCCACTCGGCAGCACGCAAGTTTTTTTTTTTAATGCATAGCAGCTGCCATGCGTCCTTGCAAACTCCATCGAAAGAGAATAAAAAATTACTCTATCCTAAGCATCAGACCAAAAAGTGGGGCACCTTCTCTCCCTTTTTCCTCATTGCTGAAGGCCAAAATATATCTCTTGTAACAAGTGGATATCTATGAACTGTCCTTCTCTCCCAGTACTGTTTTGTTAAGCTAACCTCTCAACAGCCCTCACTCTTTTCTTTGAATGCCCTGTAACAGCTTTTTCACTCATTTTCTCTTTTCTGTTGGTATTGCTGGTTTTGATTGATGCCTGGCTGCCTGTTCACAGCTGCTACTACTACTGCTCAGCTTGCCAAGTTATTTCAGAATTCACTTTTGTTTAAGGAAGTGGAATGGAAACTCAAACCTATTTCTATATCCCATTCTCTTTTCTTTAGAAGTTCTGCATCTCAGTGAGGAGCTTTTTGTGGACTACAACTCCCACATCCCTTAACAGTGTCTCACCTCAGGCAGCTGTGGCCACTGGTTGATTATGTGCCATAAAGTCAGTGTTGACTGTTGGCAAGCACATAGATTTTCTTCATGACAATTTGTCTCTAACCTGACCTTTCAGGTCTTCCAACGGTGCACCCATCACCACTGAGTCCACCCACCTTGCTCTTGGTTTCGTCTTTTTCTCTTTTCTTCCATTTTTCCCAGCAGTAGAGCCTTCTCTAGACTAGACATATCTTTTAAACTTAACCTGCATTTAAAAAGTTACCTTTGCTCTCTTGGAGAGAAGGAGAGAAGAGGACACTGGTTGTTTTCATAGCATTTGGTGTTACAAGAATGCTGTAAGCAAATGCAAACTGCGGCTTTTTCCAACTTCACATATGTATTGATAAGATCTGATCAGGAAAGGAATATTGAAATCTTGTGGATAGCTCAGTGAAAATGCTAATTCAGTATGTAGTTGCTGTCCAGACTGGAAAAAAAAGGGCAACGACCATATTAGGAATCATTAGGAAGAAAACAAAAATAAAGTGGAATTTCAACATTCCTTTGAGTTGTGCTTGACTGTTGAATTTTCTTGATAACAGCACAGAAATTATTTTTTTTCCTGCCCAGGTTACTTATACTCTAGTATCGCCTGCTGGTTTTCCATCCAAAGATTATCAGGTCCAACCCTGTTTAGCTTTTTGGAGCTCATGGAAGGTCAGCTGCTTTAGTTGGGCTAAGTGACTAATGCTTAAAATTTTGGTCACTGAACCTCAAGAAGGATATTGCAAATACGAGAAGAGTGCTGAAATTGGCAACCAATTAGAAAGTTAAAATAGTCCCCCAGATGAAGACTACAGTTGGGGGCTTTTATCTGAGAGGGAAAATATTAATTAATTAAGCAAATTTATGAAATAATTATTTGTCTCCTCTCACAGTGTTAAAACTTGGTGTCATCTACTGAAGCTGAATATGAGATTCAAGATAAATAACAGAAAGTCCTTCTTTTAAATTTGTCACAATTGATATCCACCAACTTAAATGGTTTTAAAAGGTGTCTAGACAAATTCATGGAGGATCAACTTCTAGTCTTGATGGTTGTAACTTAAACACTAACCATTGCATAGAGTGGAAGTAGGTGGTAGATTTCTGTTCATGCCTTTGACATGAACTGGAGGGGGAGGGGCACTTTATGTTAAGGGAGTTAAGCTGCTGTTGCTGATGAGAAATTGTCTTTTGTCCATGTAGCTCAATCCTGTCTATACCAGAAATCCAACAACATCTGGAGAGTTACAGGCTAACCCTGAACTAGGCTAACTGGTTTCTCTCAAGAGTCTCTTGGACAGGAATTCAACATGGAAACATACACACACAATACACACACACACATTATCTCATGTCCTCTGAAGACAGTCTGGCTTTTGTAAATGATGACTGTATTCAAAAATGGGAAATAGGTTGTAGCTCACAGGTTGGTCGCCTGAATGGCTTATTGGCACAGGGCCAAAATGAAAGCCTTCCCTCTGCTCCACCATCTACTTTTCAGGAAGGAGCTACTATGGAGTAATGGGAGCACTTGGAAATCACTGATATAGCAGCATTTACAAGTTCCCCAAATATAGTGTCTCCAAGCAAGCTCTTGCTGATGTCAGCTGCCCCATACTTTTCCTTTTGGGAAAGGTGGAAGATGGCCAAAACAAATGCATTTTCTGGCATGCCTTTTGGGAAAAGCATGAGTTGGCCAAGGATAGAACTGCTCAAAATTCTTTCTATTTTAAGACTATGTATATGCGCAGAATTAAATTGTATCCAGTACAAAATTGCATCCAACAGACAGTGAAAGTTGCATATTAATAATTTCATGTGATAGTTCTCTTGAATCAAAAAGCTCCATTTTTTAAAAAGTCTGTTAATACATCTTGAATTCTTTAATGGTAAGCACTACATTCTTTATCTGTGCCAAGATTGTATGTGGGTACTTCTGGCATGTGCATTCTTGCTGAAACAAAATGGAAAATCTTCATTTTGTGAATTCCTAGCCAAACATGGATAAGAATACTCAGTGTAATAAAAACAGACAAAAGGAAAACTTATTGATACAGCTTTTGACATGCTACTCATGTAGGAATACTCAAAAGTAATTTTCAGGCATTAAGCATTAAATATTGGCTCCTATCTAGATTTAATAGTGTGCTTAGTCTTATTATAAAGGCTAATAATGGTAGTAAGGTTGTAGAAATGAGTTTTACAATGATAGGGTAATATCCTGGTATTAAATATGACAGTATAAAGCTAATAAGGACAAAAACTGTGGGCGAAGGCATAATTAAGACTGTAGCCGAAGGCTAGTTTAAAAGTGTCTTTGCTTGCACTCAGCATGTGGCATAATCAGCATAGAATTTAATTATCTAAATAGGCTACAAAGTTTAATTGATTAATTAAAACTTAATAGGGCTCTTTAATTTTTGAAACAATGCATTTTTAATACAAGTGCTTTAAACCCCTACAGATAGCTGATGCTGTCTGAGCGAGCATTTTTTCTTCTCTTTGGAAAGGAAGAAATGTTTGTTCCTTTTAAAGTATGCAGTACTGACCATTGCATATGATACGGTATATCTTTTTCTGAATCAGCCATCTCCGTGATGTCGAGAGTCGCTGCTTATAGCAAATTTGCTGTAATAACTTATTCCTAGGCATCAAAGCAATACCCGGTAAACTCGCTTGCTTTTGTGTGGATTAAGAGAGAATTTGCATTTAGATGAACTAGTATCAGCAAACGGGAGAATTCCTTATGATCTAAGATGGTACTAGAAATTAGTGGAGAATCCCACTGGTGGAAGGAGAAGAGAGACAACTATTGTTCTCTGTTCTCCTACACCTCTCTCTTGCTGCTTCAGAAAGTTTCCAAACTCTCCAGAGTAAAAGTTGGTAAGCAGAAGTTGCAGGAAGAATAGTAAAGTTTACTTTCTTCCCTTTTCCTGTTTGAACACTGGTTAGGGTGTTCTTCCATCAGCAGAAATAAGCTCAAAATCCCAGCTATGATTTACATATACTCTTCATAACTGACAGTCTTCCAACTTTGCCATTTAAAGAAGGCCTAAAAAGCCTGATTGCTCCATAAGGAAACACTTCATCAATCCTGTTATCCTCCTCGACGGACTTTTACTGACCTCCTCTCTTACTGGAAATATGACTGATCTCCTACTGATCTTAATGTCAGAGCTTCCATTAATTTTAATTCTGCTTTTTACAAAACGTGTGTTCCTTAGATGACTAGCCTGCTTCAGCAGCCATTTGGAAAAACTGGATTTAAAAGATTTGCATTGCAATCCTGACCTCATGCTAAGATGCTGTTATAAATTAATATTAGTGTATAGTTAACTTTTTTTAATTCAACTGCAATAATTTTGGAAAATATGCTAGATGTTACCCAAGACTAAATGTTAAATATATGTTAAATTGTGGCTAAAGTTTGAAAGCAATTAACTATTGCTGCTCAAAATTTACCTCCATCTTTTGATGATTTTAGAGTGCAACGTGTCTTTTTATATTTGTTTGAAAGTCAAAATTTAATACTGAACAGTCTGTACTGAAGCATTCAAATAAGAATAGCAGAGAAAAGTAATATGAAAGGAACTAACCTGGCTAGAAGACACCTTTGTTACCTTTCAGATTAAAAAGGGTGGGGATTTGGCCGTATACTATTTTTTGTCAGGCTTCAGAAGAACCTGTGCCCTGAAAAAGAAATTTCAGGACATACTGATGCTTTTGTTATCAGCATTTATTGCAATTAGAAATGCATGTAGTCACAGTTTGAAGCTGTATTACTTGTTAAAAGTTCTAAAATGCAACCCTGTTAATCATTAATGTCAACTTTGTTTCTTAGAACAAAGGAAAATGTTGAAATAATCCACGTATTTGTTTTTAAAATAAGCTATTTCCCCACCTACCCACCTCATCCCAGTGATTGTTGTTTTTTTTAATGTACATTTTTTTTACTTTTTTTACTTTTTTTATTTTTTTTATTTTTTTTACATTTTTTTACTTTTTTTTTAATTTTACATTTTTTTTAATGTTGTTTTTTTTTTACTTGGTGTATAGAGCAGATGCAAAGAAAATGCACTTCTTTTTACTATTTTGTTAAGTGTGTGC